CTCATACCAAATTTCAGATAAAACTTCAATCGGGAAGGCATTCAAATGAATTCTTGAAGATAACTGCGATTCTAACTGCACAGTTATTTTCAAGAATTCATTTGAATGTCTTCCCGGTTGAGTTTTTAGCTGAAATTTGGTATGAGTAAACTAAACTCGATGAATAAGATGCTCAAAAAAGTTCATCAAAAACTTCCACAGGGAACCACCCCAAATGACGATTACAGGATAGAGCCTTCTAAATAAGAGCTTATTTGACCTTTTTTTGTTAGTACATGGGCCTATTTGCACCTTTTCCCTTATAAGTTTTTATAAAAGTTTCGTTTTCAGTCACAAATGTCCTTGATGCATTACTTGCGAAGGTTTCTTAACCAACCAAAAAAAAAGGCTACGCGTAATTGGTACTCGCAAAAAGACAACGTATAAATTCCAAACTCATCTAAGTTCTAAAAGCTGAACTTGGTCTTGCTAAAGACAAGAGCGGGGACGAAACAACCTTTCTCAAGGTTAAACAACCTTACAAACAAAGTCAAATTTCCTCAAACAGGAAAAGACAACCTTTTTCAAGGTTAAGACTGACTTCACAGGGCTAAAGATGAAATTAAGGGAATTAACTTTGCATCGGAGAGGCTCATAATCCTCGCCAATTAAAGAGGCTTCGCACCAAGGTCAAAGCAACCTAAAGTGAAGCTCACCCAATCTGGCTCAACTATTAAGAACCTAAGGGTTTAAAATTGGTAATGTCATCCTTAACAAAGGAAAGACGACCTTAACTGGAAATTCAAGGCAAAAATATGCTAAGGACAGAGGTGAGTGAATACGGAAATCAGGAAGGTCTGAGGGCCATCTTGGGACCTATAAACTACATAGGTCAACTCCCCGGAGGACAAAAGAATCCAAGGGAAGAAGCCAGCCCGAATAGGGCCGGAAAACTCAAACAACGTTGAAATGCCAAATAGGTCAAGCCAAACAATCAGCAGAGGCGACAAAAGAGGTAACGCGTACGAACAAGCAGAAATAAAATGGAGTGTAAAGATGTTTGAAGTACAAGCCACCCCACTGGTGGAAAACCACAACAAGCGTGCATGCCTGGAAAAGATGTCTGTAGAAGTGTTTTTAGAAGTAAGATCAATTACCGGATTGAGCAAGAGGAACTTCAGAGGCTGGGACGGTCAGGGCTTGGCTCTCCTCGGCAGCCTCCGAATTCTTCATCAGTTCCGGAAGCCCCGGGGCTTGGATAGAAAAGGATGGGTCTCTTTTCTGAAGGAGGTCATACAGGGACTTCTACATCCCGTATTGCCAAAGCTGAAAGCATAGAGCTCTCTCCTCATCCAGCCTTGCCTCGCCCTCAAGAGTCTGGAGCCAGTCCTTGGCTATCTGTCCCCTACAACTCAGAATGATCCGCTCCACTTCGGCCAGGAAGTCTGCACTCCCCTGGAAGGCCTGAACAGCAGCATGACCAGCCTCCTCAGCCTTCCTCCCCGGCTCCTCCTCCATAATCCGATGCGCAGCCTCGATATCGCCCAACCTCTTCTGCAACGTGTCGCCTCTCTACGCTGCCGCCTCCAGCCTCCTCCCGAGATCTGCATTCTGCTCCTTGAGGTTAGTCAGCAGGGTCTGGGTATCATCTTGTCCCTCATCCAAACGGCGCGAGCCAGAGGAAGCCAGAATGAAGGCCTGGAAGCAATAGAACGGGATTAAGAGAGAGGACGGACCAAGGACCTTGAATTAAGTGATAGAGGATAAAGACCCGAACGTACCTCAGATATGGAGTGGACAACATGTTGGATGGCTATTCGAGGCGACAATTCCTTAATCTCCTGGACATCAACAAGAGGAGTGAAGGCAAGGCCCAGGGACACAGGGTTCACTCTGCGGCGGAATATGGAGGCAGAACCTGCCTTCATAGAGAGGCGGACGGTGTAGATAGGTGTCAGGGCTCTCCCCTGATTGCCACCTTCCTGAGACTGGGCTTCTGAGTTAGAATCAACGTCAACCACATCTTCGGTAGACTTCACAGTAGCTTTTCCCTTCTCCTTGGGACCGGAGGCAAGCCGGAGTGTCGGTCTCTTCCCAGCCCCCTTGCCAATGGGGGGTTGGAGGTCAACAGTCAGCGTATTCAAAGTCCCAGCACTGTCTCCGGGGATGGATCCCCCCCCCCCCCCCCCGACTTCTCCGAGGCAGCCCCAATGACTCCCCTAGTCTGGATTTTTCGAACAAAGGGGCCAAGGGTGGCCCCAGCCTTCGCAGCAACCCGCTCTAACCGGGAGGCCATCTTATCGCCCGCTATAACAAAACATGAACGATGTCAAGAAAGGAAAAACAGGTGGAAAGTAAAATAGGCACCAGACCAAGCGAAGCTGACCTGACAGAAAAGTAAGCACTACCATCCTTTCCTCACCTACGTAGTGCCCCATCAGTGATCATTCTGGCGGCCTCAGCATTCCCTTCCGATAAGAACGGCATCACCTATTTCCGGATTAGTTCCCCCCACTTGTTCGGCCTCTACATAAATGCATATGTGAGACAATGAGGTGGGCCTATGAGAGTCGTCCTTACATTATCAAATTGTATGAGTTATGATCCCATTTTTTCAAATCAGTGTAACCAGCCTAGTGAATACTCGGATACTGGACCGGCTCGTCTATCCCCAACTCCCTAGGGGTGGATTCGGTTCAAGCCACCCGGCCCGTGACCCGGCCTGGCCCGCTACTGTGCGGGCCCGGGACCGGCCCGGTCTGGCAGTCCGGGACCGGGTGTAGACCCGAACCGGGGGGGATGGGCGGGGCGGGCTCAATTCTGGCAAAAGACGACCCGGCCCGGCCGGGTCGGGCCAGGATCCGGGTCTAACGGTCAAACTTAAAAAAAATCTTTTGGGCCACAAAGAGCCATTCAGAGTGGGCTGGGGACTACCCAAACGGCTATATAGCCGTTGGGTGGCCTGGCAGGGGGGTTCCGGGCGGTTTGGGGGTGGGGGTGGGGGTGGGGTAAAAAAACAAACTATAAATACTCCTAATCTTAAACATTTTTTCATATCCTAATCCTAAATCCTGCACTCTACTCTCTAATTATCTACTTCATATTCATCTTCTCAAATTCTCTTATTCTCCAATATATTATTATATCTACTTATATATTTATCTACTTATAAGTTATAAATACATATATTTATATTACTTATATTTCTTATCTACTTATATATTAATTATCTACTTATAAATACATATTACCTCCGTCCCAATGGACTTTGCACTCCTTAAGTTAGGTGAGAAATAAGAATAGTAAATATTGTGTTGTTGAAGTTTGTGCAGAGGAGAGAGAAATGAGTAGAACCACAAAATAGTTACTTTAATGGGAAAGTGGCAAAGTTTTTTGGTACAACAAAAAAATGAAAGATGGCAAAATCCAATGGGACGGAGGGAGTATATTATATTAAGATGGAAGGTGGTAGATTTTCGATTGATATGGGATCCCGCAAAGGTAAATCACATATCGGCTCTTCATCTCAAAGCCGAAATGATTTTGATACGGGTTACGCAAGGAGGGATGGGGATGTGATGACTGACAAACAAGTAGAACAAGAATTGCACCGACATAATGATCGCTTTTTCCAAGACCAATCGAGGACCATTGACGAAGAAGAGCTCGAGGATGACGATGTGGAGGAAGTAATTCCGGAGAGCCACGACGACGACGAGGAGGATGGCTGCAGCCACGACGCCGACGAGCCTGCGTCATCCCAAACCGGTACGGAAAAAATTAAATCTGAACTAATGGCTAATAATTTTTCTAAGTTGAACTCCCCGAGTAAGGTACCACCACCCACCTATCTATAGGGATGGACCCAACTAGTTCGGCTTGGTCCGGAACCGGCCCAGCCTGCTACTGTGCGGGTCCGGACCGGCCTGGTTGGTGCTAACCGGGCCCGGGCTTTTACCCGGTTGGGGCAGGTTGGGCGGGCCAGGCTCGGGCCATGTTTTTCTTGAACCGGCCCATTCAGACCGGTCCCGGGCTTCTTTTTTTTCAATTTGCTTTCTTTTTCTTGGTTAGGACTGGGTGTTTGGGGGGTTTGGGGGTGAGGGTGAGGGGTCGAGGGTTAATTAGAAAGCAAAAAAACATAGAACCGGGCCCGACCCAAACCGGGCCCGACCCAAACCGGACCCAGTTTATACCCGGGCCAGTTCCGGTTCTCCCTTTCCCAAAGAAAACCCACCGGGGCCCAGGCCCGGAACCAGCCCAGCTCCATAACTGACTATGGGCAGATGGTGGTGGTTTCAGTCATCAATTTGGCACCAGAACCAATTCAAAACCATAACTGACTGGTGCTAGACAAAACCAAAACCAGACAACATCTACCCGAACTCCATGACCATACAGTTGAGCTTTTTCAACCAGTGATTACTTACTAATGACCCTAATGTTTAAGAACAAAAATATGCTACATTACAAAAAAACTCCGGAAAAAATTTGGTTTATTTGTGTGTATACACACAACTAATGTACTAAATAAATTAGACCATTCAGATAGACAATTTTGTAAATATGCAAAAAGGACCTCTTTTTTAGTAATGGACCCAGGCCGGTCCAGTTCCGGTTCCAGGCCGGGCCCGGGCAGGCTTTTTTTGCAAATCCTTGGGCCCGGAACCGGCCCAGGTTGATACCGGGTCCGGGCCTAACCGGGCCGGGGCCGGTTCAATGTCTATTTTTTTTTTTTTTGCTTTCTTGTTATCCCCCGACCCGCCCCCGCTCACCCCCACCCCCCAAACCTCCCCAAAACACCCAACCCTACCCTAGGAAAAGAAAAAAAAATTGAAAAAACAAAAAAAAAATGACCCGGGCCAGTTCTCCCAAAACTGGTCCCCAGCCCGGCCCGCCCGGCCTGCCCAAACGGGCTAAAAGCCAAGAACCGGCCAACCGGTCCCAGTCCGGTCCGGGCCCGCACAGTAGCGGGCCGGCCCGGTTTAGTGCATCCCTACTCTTTTTCCTTTAAAAAAGGTTTCTAATCATCACTAAGTGATTTTAACAAGTTTATTTGTGTTAGTATTAGTGCAATGGTCCATGTAACATTCATATCCAATCCAAGAACCATAAAATAAATTATTGGCTCAAAGTGATGTCTTCAAAACTTGTAAAGCATTGCATAGAACCAACAGAGAAATAAAGCATTCCAAAGTCTAACTTGTGTTGGACGAAAACATGTGCAGTTGCTTTATATGACAAAGGGGCACAAGGGTAAGAAGGAAGGGTGGATCATCTCAACATGTCACAGTGCAAAGATTGAAGAACCAAAGCATCTTCCTGGAAGAGACCAGAACAAGGAAACTCGTAAGATGAAAGAACTCTCTAAGAATCAGTTCCATTTGCATCTTCCTCAATTGGCTCAGTTTTGGACTCTTCTGCCTTCTCTCCTTTCTTAGCTGCACATGAGCAAAATAGATGGTATCAAGGGGTGTCAAGGTTGTTGAAATCATTGCAAATGTTAGGTTAAACCTTGTTCCATTAGAGACTAATAAAAACAAACACAACAATGTACTTGATTGTCATGTCTATTCAAGTTTAAACATGCATATTAAAGTAACCATTTCCACCATATCAAAATAAGTGTCCCATTGGCTTTTCACATAGTTTAAGAAATGTTACAAGTTTCTTGTACCCTTATAAAAAAGCAAGAGGTTTTTGGTACCTTGCTGAATGTTTTATTATGGTGTACTGTAGCTGCTTTTAGGGTATATTCTTTCCAAAAAAGGAAATGGGACAGTTAATTTGATACAACCCGAAAAGGAAACTGGGATCCTGGGAGAGTTATTATGATACGGGAGTAATATATTTAGCTTTTCGTGATATAAATCATTTCACTGAAACTGTTAAGAATTATGGGTATAAATTTGGAACACAACTTTTTATTTTCCAAATAATCATCTAATTAGGAGCTTCTAGGAAAGTGGTAGATAACAGCTCTATTTAACCTCCATTTGTTGACTTTTAGGTAATTCAGCAATCTAATAGTGCTAGAGACAAGTACTTCAATGGTTAAATCTGTTTTTATAGAGAAAATCACAAAATTGACATATTTAGTCTGTAGGATATCAAATCACTCCTTCCATTAAGGGTGCAACCCACTTTCTGAAACTAAGCAGTAAGCAATGTAGTCAAGTGCTTTTCTTGAGAACTCATTCTAATGCCAGTTGAATTACTGGAGAATTGTGATTTCATCGAAAGAACGCATTGTGTGGCCCGGATTATGCTGTCTTTTGAGAAGATAAAGACTTCATGAGAGGAAATAAGTTATAAGTTACACTCACACTATATATTGCATACCGCACTATCTCCAAAAATATATTATGTATTGAGAAAAGCATTTCCTCCTATTAATTTCCAAGCAGTTTTTAATTTTTAATTAAGTCTTACCTTTCTTTTTCTTCCCCCCGCCTTTCTTCTTGGTCTTTGTAGGAAGGGCTAGCCATGCCTTGATCTCTGGTTCATTGTCAATTGTCTTTGTTGTGTTCAGATCTTGGAGTGGATGTGACGTTATCCTATCAGATCCATTTGGCATTAACAAAACTGTGAACTTTATATGTGCAACAAAATCACCTGCACCACCAAAGAATCAACCCTCTTGAGTCATTCTTTCATGTCTGCTAAAACTAGTACTAATGAAGGGTTTTTATGAATAGCCTATTATGCTTCATCATAGGAATCAAGATTTGATGTTAAGTACACACCAGGCTTTTCATGGAGAACAGGATATGGCTGTAGAAGATCATGGTTAACACATTCAACCAGCCCAAGACGGGCTCTCTTCTCTTCCAAATCCCTGTCAAATACACAGTTTTCAGTTTAGTGCAACAACAATGCAAATGATATTATCAACTGTAAGTGTGAGATGATAACCTTGCTGTGAAGGGCATAATTGGGAACTTCTGACTGATTTCACTAAAAATGAAACGTGATGCTTTCATCTTCAAGCTATAGTTTTTGTCGACAGCTCTCTTATATATAGTTGTTTGTTTTTCATCCAACAGTTTTGGCTGCAGTTGTTAAATCCCAAAATAAATATGACTGAAGTTAAAATTAGAACAAAAAATCATGCACAAAACAATGACATTTAGGAAAACTCAAAGCCAACCTTTCCTTCACCGGTGCTTGTCACAATATCAATGGAATACACCTCATTTTCTTCAAATTCTGCTTCATCAACTCTACTATCAGGGTTAGACACACTTAGCACGACTTTGTTTCCATCAATAACAAACTGTTTCATTTGATGGCTCAAAACTCCCTCAACAATTTTGCAATCATAAGCTGCAGCTACCTTTTGAATGGCTTCCGTTACATCAGAATTCTACAAATGACCAAGGAACTCCATAAATTGATAAAGGGGCAGTATGAAACCATTATTCTAAATAACAATTTGCAATTTGGAACCTGATATGATGCAGAAATGAAACTCTCCCCATAGACCCTTTTCATAATTCGGTACTCTTCTCAATTAGGCTTTTTGCTTGGGTTATGAGTTTCTTTTTTAATGTACAGTGAGTTGTATGCCCATTACATCCTAGAGGTTAGGTGCGGGCCACTAGCATCATGATAATTTACAATCGCAGACACAAAAACCACACTAACTTAAATAGTAACTTCCAAACTTTTTTAAAGCGAAAAGCGTCCAAAAGCGATGACCTTGTGCTTTGCTTAAAAGCGAAAGCGCTAAGCGAAGCGTAGCTTTCTCACAAAAAGCGATGCTTATAAAATATTAAAAACATAATATATATAATGTATAATTAAGCCAAAAATGCATAAGTAGTGTTTCTCCCCTGAGGATCTTGACTTTTAGATTGTTCTCCAGACATTTTGTCTACAGTTTACATATACATATTTCACAAATATATAATCAAGCAAGTGTAAATGAACTGTACAATTTAATTAATCAATAAACTTAGTGGAATAAACTGAAAATTAATAAATCAATAAACTGAAAGTAGTAGACTTGAATAAACTAAAAATTAATAAATCAATAACATGAAAGGAATAAACTGGAAAAAACTAAAAATTAATTAACCAATAAACTGAAAGGAATAAACTAAAAATTTATTAATCAATAAAATGAAAGGAAAAAACTGGAATAAACTAAAAACTAATTAATCAATAAACTGAAATGAATAAACTAAAATTTAATTTAGTGGAGTAAACTGGGGTTGATAAATTAATTATGTAACTAGCTAAAGAGTGAAGAACGATGTTTAAGGCTGAAAGGTGTTTCAAAAAAAAACAGAGCAAAAGGCTAAAGTCTCTGTAGTCTGTAATAAGACTGAAAGTTTTCAAATTAAAAAAAAAACAGAGTAAACCTGAAGAGTGAAGACTGAAGAACGATGTTTACGCGAAAGAGATTGTGCGGCTCACAGGCGAGTTGGAGATTTCTAGCCCAAAAGAAGTCTGGGCGAACTCCAAACCTGCGGCTTCATCACCTACGGCTTCTTCACTTGCGACTTCTTCACCTGCGACGTTGTCTGGTGCGTGGAAAGAATCGAACGAACATAACCCTAATTTCTAGCGTGAGGCCGATAACACTTAAAACTTAAAAAAAAAATTGACCTTCACTTTTTGTGAAAAGCTCAGAAAAGCGGTCGCTTAATTGAAAAGCGAGCTCACGAAAAGCGAAGGAAAAGCGGAGCTTTCTCACGGCGAGTCGCTTCCCAAAAGCCAGGCGGGGAACCGGCGCTCGCATGCGCTTTGGCGCTTAAGCGCGCTTTTGGGCGCTTTTAACAAGTTTGGTAACTTCACAAAGACAATTCATGAAAATCTAAAGATAGAAGAGTAAACATAGTGAGACAGAGATGGAAATAGTACTAGTAATACTTTTGATAGTTCTGTCATTCTGTGAGCTGTTCATTTGGGACCAAACATAATATAAATATGAATTATCTAGGCCTTTAATTAACAATCCATGAGAAGAAAGGGCGTAGAGTTGTAGACATTGTTATGTACTCAAGCGTATCAAGAGTTTCAAGCCATCACTATTTACTTAATGATGAGCACAATCACTTTAAATTTAGGCCAAAAAGAAGCAGAACTGGAGATGAAACCGTCGCATCAACAGTGTATGGAGAATGTGGATAACACTCTTTCTCCTGGTCAAGAATTACCTTCCTTCCAGGCCTCACAAGCCTCAGAGCAACTTCAGCAGCGGTATTTGCTGCAGCAATTACATCAGCAGATCTGCCAGTAACTGGCCCATCCTGAAGCACATGGGTGTGTGCAACCACTGCTATAAAACCATCTATGTGACACCCCATATCACTGCAACAAACAAGAAATCTTATAATAAACATTATATATCATAGAATACACAACTAGTAAGGTATACGGCCTGGTCTCTTGACAAAATAACAAACTAAACTATACTATGTAAACTGTAGTTTCGCGGAGAAAAGCTAAAATTGGAGAGTATAAATTTATTCCAAACCATATTATGTTCATTTTCATCTCAAATGCTCTACTAAAGACTAAAATTTTCCTGAAATAAAGCATTGAAAAAGGACTAAACAAATCTGTAGTACTTACATTTTCAACATATCACCATCTTCCAACACAGTCTCATCAGAAGACAAAGGAGAGTAGTGGCAAACAGTATTGTTAACTGAAATGCAGGTGGGAAATGCAACACCCCTCTCAATCTTCTTCTTCACATTCTTATACATATTTCCAGTTTGCCTACAGCACAACCAATCACTCAGTACAGAATACAGCATAGTAGGCAGGATAACATGTCCAATACTTATAAAAAAATTACTAGTAATATAGAAAACATACTCTCTAATGAATGCATCAGCCTTTTCACACAGATCAACAATCCTGGCTTTCGGCTTGCAATGGGACAAAACCAGTTGCACGGCCTCTACAAAAATAACATCAATTCTTTAAAAGAAATAAAACTTTCAGCGCGCAGATAAAAATAATCAGCATTCACGCATATATGATGTATATCTGTGCTATCTAAGCATTACGCTGGTGATACCTCTGTATCAAATAATACGGGCAAAATACATCAACCAGTACTACATATGTACAAACACACCCAGACGGAGTAAGACAGATATTTACTGTTTACGATTTCGGCTGCGCTCTTGTACTTGGTGACAACCTCGGGACTGGTGAGATCCAACTCCTTCTCCTCTCTCTCGTCGTCCGACATCGTTAGCGTTATTCACGCAACTGCAGGGAAACGGCGATGTGAAGCGTAAATGCACGGAAAGAACAGATTACAGGCTAAAATCGACGGCAAGAAGAAAGGAGGACTAGAAATGTGTTTGGAATAATGCTTGGCGGAAGCTGGTGGAAGAAGGGTTTGAGCTAGGGTTTTTAGCCGCTCAGAAAATGAGAAATATAAAGCATGGGGGTGAAAATGTGAACATTCTATTACACCTTCGCATGGCTTGAAAGCTGACCTATGGCAGTTACCTATGGACCCAACAGTTTTACTTTCAAGCCATATTGTTTTTTTTTTTTTTGGAAATCAAGCCATATTGTTTAAACAATAATACTTGTCCTTCACATTTTATAACATTTTGCACAATTTTTTATAATTTTTCATATATGACTGTGAAGTTAAATTACATAAAATGTATAAATAAAATTAAATATAATAAACAAAAATTAAGTTGCGTATGAGAAACGTCTCTTTAACATTTATTTGATGCACATAAATATTAATATATAATGTAACTACTCGCTCGCAATTAATGTTTTTGGATACGAGAATAAATGTATGCAATAAAAGTTGATAAATTTGCGAGACTAGTTTATGTGTTTGGACAATTTTTTTTCTACATGTATTGTCAATGAACTAATTAAGCATATCATGCAGTGGCGGATCTTGCAACTAAATGTAGGGTGTTTGAAATTGCTTTACCATTAAGATGTACCTAATACATGTACAATATATACCTAATAGTACAATATATAAATTATTATATTAATTATATACATGTATTTTTATACCTAATTTTTACAAAATTTGGGTGTTCACGTGAACACCCTTGAACAAAGAAGATCCTCCACTGAGCATATGATAGTTGTAGTTGACCTGATTTGACTTGATATGTACACAACGCATACAAAAATCATTTTTCTTCGATAAAGGAGAATTCATTACTTTACGTGTTCAAAATAAAACTAAAATACACTTACTTTTTAAAAATTGAATTAGTATATTTCGCTTATAGATAAAGAATATCATTAACTAAATAAATAAAATCATCAAATAAGTAGTCTCAAAAAAGTATGACGAAGATCATGTCTAGATAAACTTCGTACGTTTACATCATATGATTTTATCATATAATTTCAGATGATTTAGATAAGTAGAGCCAATACCCCTATATGAAAGGTGTGCAAATTTACCATGTATAAGTGTATAACGTATTGATTAAGGATGTTTTTACTTGGACTGTAATTTGCTGATCTGGTCTGATCTAGTTTCTTTGTATTTTTATAACTATCCAAGTCTGGTCTGGTCTGGGAGGAATTACAGTTCAAGTAAAAACATCCTAAAGCTTCATCATCCATCAAAGGTGTATGTTAGCCAGTTAGGGAGCAATAATGAAAACACTAATAGTGGTTATTTACTTTTACATATAAAAGAATGTATAAGAATGGTGAAATCACAGGCCAAAATACAAGCCCGAATAAATGAATCTTCTAAACTAGAGTCTTCTTTTTATCATCTTCCAGTCAGAGAGATGTCATCACTGTTTCAAGAAATGGCAATATTTGTAGAACATAGCACAGAAGGGTTACTCAGCCTACATAGGTTTCGACAGTTATGTGTAGCCACAAAATTTTCCCAATGCAATTAGCATCACACTCACGTCATCGGAAGAGCCTCTAGAAACCGAAAGATCGACCAGTTTCTTGCAGCATGACAGCAGTTGGGGCTTATCGGAGCCAATGCAGAAAGGCCGGGCAACGTCTACTGCTTCTTGTGTGCTAACCTGATGAGCAAAGTTGGTAAATTAGTCACATAAGGTAAAACCAGAGCTGCGAAATTTATTAGGGCTAGATCGGGCAACTAGGCCACTTAATAAGGCAAAAATGGAATCCTTGGCTCCTATGAGATGAGAGCTTTCTATAGTTAGTAACTTAAGTAAATGCATTTCAAGTTCGTAACCATAGCGTTAGAAAAATATAGCATCGTTAAAAAAGTTTTGCCAATTTAGACCGATTATTCCAAAATATAGAGAATTTAACCCTAGTCGTTCGGTGGGTTATCGCCTTATCGGGTATTGAAGAATTCAGCAAAAAGAACTTGAAATGCATTTGGTGCTAAGTGCACAAAACAATTTTATTATTTTTTTGACAGAATGCTCCATCATCATCATTACCCCAGTGCCGCAAAGGCTGCCACCCTACAGTGGGGTAAGGGGGGTCGAATGTACGCAAACTTACCCTTGTACTAAAGCAGCGAGAGACTGTTTCCGAATGACCCATAGTGAAAATCGCGTTGCAAATTGCATAGACTGACTGTTACTTCATAACAAAGAAGCGCAGACAGTTTAGTGAACCATTTTACTTTATTCCATCATATTCTGAAGCCAAAAAATAGTGAGTCTTTGGCTCCATTAAAAAAGATGGAAAGCTTTTTGACAGAATGCTATTTCTTAAAGATGCTAATTATATGTTTTTCATTTTTTCTTCAAAATGCAATATTAGCATTTTTATATTTACATAGACTTGGCAAGCCAACCACACCAATTCACTAGATACACAATTTGAGCAGTTCTTTCTGGCGCCTATCAATATTTTGAAGGCAGTGAGTTCAAATTGCCAAAACATACTTTAAAAGTACTATTGCTACAGTTGTAGACCAAAAAAGCATTTACCTGAAGTTAGAGTTAAATGGTTAACTTAGGAGCAATAAACATATTTATTATAACTACATCACTGAAGACTGTTTAAAGAGATGAAATCAAAAGTTGGCATGAAAACTGCAAATTACCTTATCCCATAAGCCATCAGAAGCAAGGATCAAGAACTCCAGTTGAGAATGAAGGGTTATTACCCTCGTTTCTGGTTCTGCAATAACCCATTGCTTGAGTGACCGGTCCCCAATGCCTCTAGACACTGCCAGAGATCCCTGAATTCTGCACACACCATGACTACAGCCTACAAAGCCACCCTGCAACAAACCACAAATATGTCAGGATATATGTGGCATTTTATAACAATGAGATGAAGCTGGACCAATGCTATTAAGCTTTGGGGATCAATCTTAAAAGGCCTTATATTGAGATTCTTGTTATTATATTTGGTCAATGTGGATGGTTTAACATGTCACACAAGATAGTGACTAGCTAGAGCATATCAATCTTAAAACTCATTTGAGCTTAATCTCAGCTCTAATGAGACATTAAGACTCAAGATTTTGTGTTTCATGCTAAAAGTTCTAGTATCCCAAGACCTTATGTGATTCATTTGTACTTCTATAATTGACCGATGAGGAATCTTGCTTACCAAAGCCTCAATTCGTTCCTTTTCATCCGTTCTTGAAGGTCGATGATCAGAAGTAAGAGCTTCTCCAATGCCACTATTGCTCACAACAGCTCGACAATCCCCAGCATTGGAAACCACAAGATTGCTGTTATTAATAAATGCTGTAACACAGCAAGATCCACCTTGCAGATCTTGTTTCAAGAATTCGGTATCTGTTTTCAAGTAACCATTCTTCACCGCCTCCTTAATTTCATCATCATCGCCACTGCTCTTTTCTATTTCATCCCAGATGTTCTTGGCCAAGTTTTGTGATGCATACTCAGCCGCACTTGCTCCTCCATGCCCATCAAATACACCAAAAACAGCCTGAAAGTTACACCGAATCAGATTAGACCTTCCTACGCTTCCATCTTATCCCAATGAGTACGAGATCCGAATGAAATTTTAATTATAGTATAATTCAATTTTTTCTGAAGAAATGCAAAAAAATACCAAGGAAATTGCTCCAACTAGGAGAAAAGCATGAGAATTTTGCACATGGGCCAAAAGTGATAATCTTATATTCTTATGTGAAATATATGATCATATTTTGAAAACAACAACATTATCATACATTATTGGTTCAAAGATCTCACTTTTATTAGGCAAATGTTGGAGATTCTAGTCAGTACTTAGTGTTATGGTAAATGGCATACTTGTTCAAAGTTTCAAGCTATATGTACTACATTCACATTAAAAACTGCCCAATTAACTCAATAAAGTATACTGATACAACCCTAATATTGGAAAAGCACGAGCTATTAACTCCAAAATCATCTAAGCTGAGCGTACCTGCTTATAATCTCCACGGAGATTGACCATAGCCGAGTACCGATCTTCTATAGCCCTTCTTCTCTTCCCGCGTTTACAGCACACCGAGTACCCATCTCCCTCAAACTCCACCAGATCTTCTCCCATAACAGAACCTGCGTCCGGACAGTCCCCAAAGGTCACCGTAACGCTGGGGATATCCAACCTCGCCGGCCGGTTTCGCTTCCAAACCGTGGAGGAGGTCGAAGAGGAACAGTCAGGAGTAGAAGGTCGAATCAATCCGCTGGGATGCGGCTTCGAGGCACGAAGAATCCGCAAAGGTGAAGACGGAGACGGAGACGTCACGGATGAAGGAGAGAGTGAGCGGGTCAGAGCCTCCGGCGAAGAGGAAGATGCGGCGGCGGCGGCGGCTTTGCAGTGGACTGAAATTCTGGAAGGCGAGAAGACTGGTGAGCTAATCGCAACGGTACATGCCATGTATCCGTTCCTTCTGTTTTGGGTTTCGGGGGAAGCTATAATGAATTTTAACGTTCGGAATTTTAACGTTATTTGATTTGTTTCGGAAATGTTTTTGTGAATGGAGAAAAAACTCAAAAAGGGGTTTTATTTATACTTTTGTAGTTTGAGAAGAAGAAGAGGGGGAAATGAGTCAATTGAAAATTCAGTTAGGGTTGGGGTCAAAGTGGGGCCACCCCGTGTGTTCTCCATGTAATGGATCTTTCCATGGGCATGCATTTGACACTGAACTATGGGTTGGGTATAATACAACACGTTTATAAGAGTAGGGCGACTTCAAGGAAAAGAGAGGAGACCTTCTTAGAGAATTGTTTGGGTTAGAGGACATGTTGCTGCTGATTTTGACATGTATTAATTACTATGTAAAAACATTCGATGGAAAAGTTGTGCTTTTTGTGATCTCATTATGACATGTGTGCTGATCTCATGTAAAAGAATGAAGGCGGGTTAAAGGGTCATCACTGTCGAAATTACTTCAAATAGGATTAAAACTATGGCAAAAAACTCAAAATAGGATTTGCTATGTTTTTATTCCAACATAAGACCATATTACTCCTATTGGAAACATATCTATTTTTCATTTTCATTTTTACCCCTCCTTTAAATATGAATAAAAGGTAGTCAAAAAATTGCTTTAATAGGAAAGTGACAAATTTTTTTGGGACAATCAAAAAAGGAAAATTGGTAAAGTCCAATGGGATGGAGGGAGTAAAAAATATGGATGCATTTCCCACCGCCCGTACTGCCTCCCTGCACCACCACCTCCGACCGGTGTAAAAATGTCATTTTTTCTGAAAATACCAAAAAATGGCATATTACTACTCCCTCCGTCCCTTAAAACTTTGTCATCTTTCCTTTTTGGGACGTCCCAAAAAACTTTGCCATTTTCCCTTTTAATCAATTATTTTGTGGTTTCTGTTATTTCTCTCTCCTCTACACAAACATCAACCACACAGTTTTTACTTTATTATTCTCCGTGCCGGTCAACTTTGGCAAAGTTTTAAGGGACGGATGTAGTATTTGTGAATGCAAAAATTTTCATTGAATCTTCCGTAAATATGGCATTCGTAACAGATGTGGCATTTTTTCCCCTAATGACCGGAGGTGGTGGTGTTGGGGCGGTAGAGGCGGTGGTGATTTTTTTTTTGCGTTTTTTATTTTTTAAATTTTTTAAATTTTCTTTAAAAAATATAATTATTATTATTTAAATATTGTTATTAGTTTTTAATATTTTTATGAATTTTTTTTATTTTTATTATTTTATTATGAATTAAAACATTTCAATAGCAACAAGAGTATATTTGTCCAACACACACAGAATTAGTCCTATTTTTTTCCTATTTGTACAAAGTGACCAGCTTTTAATCTTATTTTGACAATTAACCCTTATCACTACAATATAAAACCGTTTCTTACGCGTTTAGTTACGGGCAGCTTTGTAAGAATTCCTCGATAACAGACTTGGTCGAGGAAAAAATATGTGACACCAAAGGAATGTCAAAATTAAACGTCTTTGTGGTGCCACTTCGAGGCACGGAGAATCTTCAAAGGTGGATCGGCCCAATACCCCTGTGGAGGAATGAAACCAGAAACCCGCTACGGCCCCAGGCTTGGGCGGCTCGACCCGGGTGGCACACGCCGCATGACACCGTGGAAGTAGCATTGAGTGATCCCGTATTGGCAACCAGGGAACTCTTGGCAAGCAGGCTCGATTTAGATGGTGGGAAAGCAAGGATTTTGGTAAGAAACACATTTAATGCATGATATATGCAAGAATTTATGGTTGGGGATTAACCATTCAAGATCCTCCACAGTCCACATCACCACTACCACCTACCCCATAAATAGTACTCCCTCTGACACACAAAATTTGGCCAAAATTGACTTGCACGTAGATTAATAAAGTAAAAATCGTGTGGTTGAAATTTGCGCAGAGGATGGAGAAATAGTTTTAACCACATATTTCTTACTATAAATGGAAATGACAAAGTTTTTTTGGACGGCCAAAAAGGGAAAATTTGTCATGTTTTATGGGACAGAGGGAGTAGCATTTATTTCATTGTTAAGGTTGGCAACTTGTATTCTCTAGTTTTACTCTTTCTCTCTACTTCTTCTGTAATAACAGATTAGATTGGAGACGTAGCGCTCGGCTCGATAGGGTGTACTATAATCGCTCTAAGTACTTAATACTACCTCCGTCCCTTAAAACTTTGCCAAAGTTGACCGGCACGGAGAATAATAAAGTAAAAACTGTGTGGTTGAGTTTTGTGCAGAGGAGAGAGAAATAACAGAAACCACAAAATAATTGATTAAAAGGGAAAGTGGCAAAATTTTTTGGGACGTCCCAAAAAGGAAAGATAGCAAAGTTTTAAGGGACGGAGGGAGTAGAACTCAACCCACTTAATTCCTTCTTGCAAGAACTTATGTCTTAAAATAGTTAACTAATCCACTAAAATATATCCAACCCACCAAATTCTCTTACGAAAGCTCAAGGAAAAGTGTTTGGGCCTTGGTCGTGGAGGAATAAACTTAAATGATCGCGCCGTTTGTGGGAATTCTTTGAACAAAAATATCCCGAGCAAGCTCTCGTTCTAAGCAGCACCTTACGAACTCAAGCAATTCAAACAAGCGAAAATGGTCAAATTCTCGTCCGAGCACACTCGAGATCTGTCAGAGCAATTGCGCAACAACAGGAGGTCGTAGACTCTGAGCTCTGTGGAGCCAACTGGCAGCAAATGGCCACACCAGGAAGATCAAGGAGACGTCACCCATATGATTCCGGCTGAGGCCTGAAGGTCAAAAGAGACCCACAACTCCCAAGGGAACTCGCTATCATCATGTGATGTATGATTGACCAGAATGGCGCAGAGCAAATTGTTTACTCCGTAGAAACTGAGTGTACCCTCATCTCCTATTCGACATATGCAGTCATTTGGGGATAACACAGGGGGATTCGAGCCTCTCGTACCTCAATTTATAAGAGGATCGACGGAATGTCGGGTTCTGGGGAATTCCTTTTTTTGGGACAATCAAAAAAGGAAAATTGGCAAAGTCCAATGGGATGGAGGGAGTAAAAAATATGGATGCATTTCCCACCGCCCGTACTGCCTCCCTGCACCACCACCTCCGACCGGTGTAAAAATGTCATTTTTTCTGAAAATGCCAAAAAATGGCATATTACTACTCTGTATTTGTGAATGCAAAAATTTTCATTGAATCTGCCGTAAATATGGCATTCGTAATAGATGTGGCATTTTTCCCCCTAATGACCGGAGGTGGTGGTGTTGGGGCGGTAGAGGCGGTGGTGATTTTTTTTTGCGTTTTTTATTTTTTAAAATTTTTAAATTTTCTTTAAAAAATATAATTATTATTATTTAAATATTGTTATTAGTTTTTAATATTTTTATGAATTTTTTTATTTTTATTATGAATTAAAACATTTCAATAGCAACAAGAGTATATTTGTCCAACACACACAGAATTAGTCCTATTTGTCCTATTTTTTTCCTATTTGTACAAAGTGACCAGCTTTTAGTCTTATTTTGACAATTAACCCTTATCACTACAATATAAAACCGTTTCTTACGGGTTTAGTTACGGGCAGCTTTGTAAGAATTCCTCGATAACAGACTTGGTCGAGGAAAAAATATGTGACACCAAAGGAGTGTCAAAATTAAACGTCTTTGTGGTGCCACTTCGAGGCACGGAGAATCTTCAAAGGTGGATCGGCCCAATACCCCTGTGGAGGAATGAAACCAGAAACCCGCTACGGCCCCAGGCCTGGGCGGCTCGACCCGGGTGGCACACGCCGCATGACATCGTGGAAGTAGCATTGAGTGATTCGTATTGGCAACCGGGGAACTCTTGGCAAGCAGGCTCAATTTAGATGGTGGGAAAGCAAGGATTTTGGTAAGAAACACATTTAATGCATGATATATGCAAGAATTTATGGTTAGGGATTAACCATTCAAGATCCTCCACAGTCCATATCACCACTACCACCTACCCCATAAATAGTACTCCCTCTGACACAAAATTTGGCCAAAATTGACTTGCACGTAGATTAATTGTAGCACCGTCCCCAAGCATATTTACTATTAGTAAATTATGTAATAAACCTTGAAGGATGATTTATGAATTTGCATAAATGTAAATTTTTATTAATTCTTTTACGTGAATAGTAAATTGCATGTGGGGCCCACGCCCGGATCGGGGGGTCGCCCGATAATTTCCGAACCACGTATTATATTCATCTTGGTCTAGATGACATCTACATAGAGGTGGATATTTTATTTGGGCCATAAGAAAGGCATGGAGTTGACCGGTTGGTCAAACGGGGCCCAATTACCGGTATTGGTAATTTAGCGGATAACAGCCCGAAATGAGTTTCGGAGGCTCCTAAATTAATGTTGGGGAATGTACATCCATTCTAAAGGCCCATAATTATTTGGAACGCGTGATATATTTTATCCGGTCCGATAAAATAAAATATGACTAAAATAGTCCGAGAAATACAACTTTCGGGGCCGATTATACACACCGGGACTTAAAGGGATGACCGCCCACATGAGTGGGGGGCACCCCACGTCCTTATGGACTGAATGAGAGCAGAAAGGGACATTCAAACATGGGAGGTGCGGACTCAATGAGTGAGGAGATTGCTCAAGACAAAGAAATCACTCCCAAGGGCCCATGCACATGTATTATCTTGGGAGTTGATTGGGGAGATGTTTCCTCCTTCATTCCACACCACTCGGCCATATCAAGAGAGGAGAACCTCTAGGAAGAGCTCTCACAAGGTCCAAGGCAGGAAGAAGCAAGAGGAAAGAAAACCCAACACAAAAAGGCTAAGATTTGAGGTGAGAACTTAGCTAGGATACATTAACTAGTTTTTGTAGTATGATTTTTTAAGAAATCATATGGTGGATTAAACATGAAGTTCTACACGTTTAAAAGTGTAGAATATTGATATAAAGTGGTGATATTTAACTTAGGGGAGTTGGTTAATCGATAGGAGTCGAAATCGCCGGAAACCGCCACTTTAAGGGAGCTGCCCGTATCTGCAGAACACGAAAGCCGCCC